AAAATGTAAAATGTTACACTGTCACCAGAGTACCAGGTGAAAACACCCTAAATCACCTTGTTCTTGATCTGCTTCGGCGTGTCAGTGAGGAATATGGAGGAGTTGGCATCGCTGGCGCTCATCTTCGTCTGCGCCCCCTGCAGGGCAGGGAAGAAAGTGGAATGCAGCAGGGCTGGTTTCGGGTAACCAATCCTCGGAGCAACATCGCGGGTCATCCTGAAGTAGGGGTCCTGTGTGACGGACAGAAAAACAAATTATTTTGTACAATAAACATATCTGTGCATTCCTTCCTCCATCTCGTGGTTCTGACCTGATCAATGGCACAGGGGATGAGGCACTGTATGTCTTTTCTGCTTCCGAAAACATGAGGGAAGGAGTTACTGAAGGATGGCGCGGCCTGGATGGCCGGGAAGCTGATCTTTCCTGGATGGAGAACAAAACACAATATCTGTTCAAACGTATACTTGGAAAATACGAGACGCTTAACAGATTTGCTAATCTGGAGACTGAAATCTATTCTCAAGTTAATCTAAACAGGCTGAATTAAAGAGTAACTAAATCCTAAATGAACTACTTTCAGAAAGATAAAGTGTCAAAGTTGGACCTTAAAGGAGACGTATTATGCAAAATTAATTTTTTGTGCTTCTGTTTGGGTCACAACTGCTTCTAAAAACTTCTAAAAAAGCTCTTAAAACAAAACTCCCAGCCTTTTATGTTTTGTGGTGTCTGGAAAATAAGCTGTTTCAAAAACCTCAGGAATGTAACCTAACAATCTCTGCCGTTACCTAGCAACCCCACCAAGGCACGGCCCGTTACCTAGCAACCCCCGCAGCTACTTCTGTAGCTCCACAGAAGTGATTAAATCCATCCATCCATTTTCTTTACACCCTAAACCGGAGTATCCGGAGAAAACACACGCATGCACAGGGAGAACATGCAAACTCCATGCAGAAAGACCAGAACCTTCTTGCTGCAAGGCAACAGCTCTACCAACTGCGCCACTGTGCAGCCTGTACAGTGATTAAATGGCAAAGACAAACATCGTCCAGTCAACTGGCGACAAATTCGCACTTATCCATGACAGACGCAAAAAAAGTGAGCTTGCTAGCTAGTTAGCCTTTTTAGTTTTTCCTCCTCTGTCTGTTTCCACTGTAGGAACCAGAACCAATGGTTCCTGCTCATATTGCTGTTAATGTAACTTTGCTGGTTAACAAGTGTATATTAGCAGCTAGCTACAAGTAGCATCAACCGCCCCGAGTCACAGAACGTAAATAATAAGCTACCAAAAGGTTTGCCTGACTGAAAAGTCCATGAGAAATAGACTACATAGAATATACAAAATTAAATTGTAATTAAAGTATCTATGGCCAGCCTACCTTTTTTTAATTAAAGACATTTGAAAGCTTTAATTTTAGACAAACGAGTTTAAGACTTATTTCAGACCCGTGATTAACGTATTTAATGCCAATTTACCTTCTTTTAAATTAATTCAAGAAATTTTAAGGCCTTAATTTTAGATGTATGCATTAAAGACTTTTTAAATCTGCGTGGTCAGTCATTTCACTGTTTTCAGCTGCTTACCGATGCAATCGCTGTCCGTGAAGCCAAAGATGCCTTTAACCTGGTTAAACGTCACATGCTTCTGGATCTTCACCACATTTCGGTAGAACTCAGGGGAGGAACTGAAGTAAAAAACAAACAACACTATAAAACACTATAATCTGACAGTGTTCTCTCTTTAGTCTCCAGTTTTGTTTTACCCCATGTAGTCGAGATCAGAGAAGATGAAGGTCTTGTTGATGTCGAAGCCACAGGCGATTATGTCCTTGGCGTTTTCTATGGCAAAGCGGTGGCATTCTTCAACAGTCAGGTCCTTCCACAGGTACTTCTCGTCATCTGTCAGCTGGATCACCAGTGGGATGTCGAACACATCCTGGAGCCATCTGGAACCAGGAGTTCAGTGCAATTTGCTCCATTTTGATAGTCAGAACTGAACGTTTTGGTCGATTTTTAAATCTACGGTGTAGTAGTGACGTATTTATGCAGGGAAAAAAACTCACTTAGTGAAGATAAAAGGGATGAGGTGACCAACATGCATGGCCTCTGAGGACGGCCCTCTGCCAGTGTACAGGTAGAACGACTTGTGCTTCTCGTATGCATCCAGAACCTGATGCATATCTCTGCAGAGCAAAGGGAGAAAAATTAAGTTTATTCTTCTGTATCCAATAATAATTCGCTGTGATTTTATTTTGTCAACACAAAGTAGTGCAAAGAGGGAAATGAAATGCTTTTAGTGTTGAACCTTCTTTGATCTGTTTCACTGTATAAAATTTACAGCAGTAAAGTTGAATTGTGTCTGATTTTATCGTAATAAATATTCAGCGTTACAGTAAAAAAATGAAAACAACATGAATAGCAAGAAAAAGAAATGTATAGTCCTGTTTCAGTTGGTTACAAGGCAGAAGGGGACACAAAATATTTGTTTATGTTGTTTATCATTTATTGTGATAAATTTCTTCTACCAGATGCAACTGCAGTGAAAACTGGTGAATATATAATAAACTAGACCAAGTATTTTTGGTCTAGTTTATTGTGCAAATATCTTAGTGTACTTAAAATAAGACAAAACTAACTCATAAGTAACTTTTAAGCAAGATATAGGAGCTTGTTTTAAGTCAATAATTCCTTAAAATTGCAGAAGAAATATTAGTTGCATTGACACAATATGATACTTAACACAAAACATTTTTCCCTTGTTATAAGTGAAATAATCTGCCAATGGAACTAGTGTTTTTTCATCAATATTAAGGAATCACTGACTTAAAACAAATTCATATATCTTCCTGAAAAGTTAATCATAAGTTAGTTTCGTCTTATTTTAAGTGTACTTAGATGTTTGCACAATAAATTAGACCAAAAATACTTGGTGAGATTTTGTGTTTTTGAAGTGAGGAAGCTGGAAACACTCGGAAATCATTTTTATTTCCTAAAGATGTGGAAAAATTATGCCAATCGCACTAAAATAGACCATACTGAAGTTCATAGTTGTAATATGAAAAGGTTGTATTAATGTGATTAATATGCCAGTTATTAATTAGAAAAACAAACACCTGTGTGAGAAGAAAACTCCTCTTCGTAGAAAGCGATGTGGTTTCTGTCCACAAACCTTCTCTATTCTATCCACCAGCTCCTGGTCGATCTTACTGCTCCCAAACCTCACTAATAAATAAAAATAAAAATAAGACAATGTTTATCAATCCGCCATGATGGATTACCCCTCCAGTCAGACTTAAAGCTAACTGGACTCTCACCTATTAATTTGTCATAATCGACTCCCTTGGCGTTGGTGGTTGAAACGGTCCATGGATCCACCGTGTCGTCCTCACCGGCGACATCTGCTGCCGGGCCGTTGTTCGGCGCAGCATCGTTCTCTGACGGTGGACATCCTGCTTTGTAGTCGTGACCTGTCATCTGTTTGTAGTCCATTTTCAGCTTCAGTAGCAGCTGGACAGCAGTGTCAACCTCAGTCTGTAGAAAAATAAATAAAATGGGCAAAAAAAAAAAAAAAATCATCTATTAGGCTAAAAATTAACAACAAAACTGAGTAAGATTATCTATATTTTTATCCTTAATTCAATATTATCTTTTATGTTATAATGAAAGGACGGGCATTTGTTCATCACTGAAAGATCAGATGGTAATTAAATATATATATATATATATATATATATATATATATATATATATATATATATATATATATATATATATATATATATATATATATATATGCCCTGTTTCCTTCAATGTCTAGAAACAGGAGAAGAGATCAATTAAAATCTCATTCACTTTTAAAATTTCTGTTACTGATAAAAAACAAACAAATCTAGTTTTCCTACAGCTTGTTCATGTCCAAATTTTACATTTTTCCAGTGTTAAGTTCTCAGTTCTTTTCAGTCAATTTTTACAGTACAAATATAACAGTGTACCGTAAATTCAAGGTGGATAAATCCAGCTTTAAAAATGGAAGTTGCAAAAATCATGGAGCAGACTGATGACTCACTCCCAAATATGTCTTATATACAAACACTATATAAACACCATGTCGATAAATGATGAGACAGACTACATCCCCTTTTTGGAAATATTTATTTTACGGTTGTTGATTAACTTTCCTAAGCAGGAAGAAAATCATTTTTATTATTCTTTTTGTTGGAAATGTGCCTTACTTTATCAGCTTTGGCTGACTTCAGGGACCTCACTTTTACCCCTTGTTCGCTGAGTTTCTCATAAAGCTCCATGGGAGTGCTGGCTCCTTCCACATCTCCTTGGCAGTCTGTCATCTCCTTCACCCTGACATGATGTTAAAACAATTAAACAAATGTTACAATCAGTCTTTAAACAGAAAAATAAAACAGATTTAAAGCTCTGATATCTCTATATTTCCTCCTTCCGTAGCACAGAAGGCTCCCATATGTGAGCATTTATCAAAGCTAGCTTGGTAAATCTGGCTAATCGTTGCTAAAACTCTCCATCAAAATGAGAAAATTGACAGTTGGCGGGTTCCTAAATTAAAAAACTATTGAGCTTAAAGGCATGTCAAAGAAATATCCGGTTAGTTTCTCTGTTTTTCTATCATACCGTTAAGCTGACAGCTCCCTCATTCAACTTGCATCAGCCTGTAAAGAGCCCGGTGTCCGGATTTACTTCTTCCCCGTTCAAACACGCCGTGTTCGAAAGGTTCCGGTCATCACGAATCCGCGCAGTCAAGAAATGTGGTCTAATTCCTACAAATGTTATCAGGAGAATACAAAAGATCCATGCTATTTTGTTCATAACAAAAAAATACTAAAGATATTTCAGAAATTATAATTTTTATGAGGAGAAAGTGCCTTTTTCTGGTTCCTACCCACTGGTTTCAAAATAAAAGCTTTTAAACGTAGAAAGGCGCTTTCCCGATAGGAACAAAACGAAACAATGCTTTTATTCTGAAATTCTCTCACTGACATTATTTTTGCGGGATGTTAAACAAAACAAACTAACATAAACGCCACGGAGAGAAATCAAGGTCTTCTCCAAAGTTCAGGTACAACAACGAAGCGCAATTATTCATCTGCTTTTATTTTCTGTTATTAGCTCGTAAACTGGAAAGGAAAACTATGAACGTTAGCTGGATCTGATAGCTGCTAGCTAATAAATATGAAAAGCTTTGAGACAGCAGACATTGCTAGTATATAACAAGCACGCTAAATTTACAAATATGGATGTATATATTGTCACATTTCAGCTACAAGCTCAAGTTAATTTAATTTTATTGTGATTTATGGCATAGACCAACAGAAATATGCACCTAGAAGCAAAATTACCGCTTCTAAATGTGATATTTTCATTTATTATTAGTAAACATGTCTGGGGGAAAAATACCACACATAAAGCAAAAAACTGGCTTAGTTGTTGGTGATGAAGATACTTGATCGCCAACTACAATATAAAATGAAACGTGGTTTTAAAACATTTATCTTCCAATAAAAAAAATCTGAGAAGTGTGACCTGCATTTGTACTTCGCTTCACCCATCTTCCAGTTAAATCAGACTTCAGCTTTTCAAGTATGTACTGAAGTTAAAAAAAATAAATAAAAAACAACTTAAAATGGCTGAACTTTATTTATTTTGGAACAGCATAGTTAGGTGGGGTGATAAATATAAATGAAACGCTTTTCAGAACATTATTTGTAAGATTTGTGAAATTCCTGTATTCTTATACTTCAACTGTTGCATCATGTAATATCTTAAGGAAATCTAATAACATTTAGAAACGGTAAGTACTGGATTCATTGTGAAAGGTTTGTAGGAACTGACGTAGAAAAATCTGTCATATTTAAAACAAATTCTTCACTTACATTTATTGTTGTAGAGATTTTTAGTTGCACCTAAAATTTATTTTTGCTAAAGCTGATTATTCCTAGGCCTGCTGCAATAAGCAATAATTCAATTAATTGCATGATAAATTAAAACAAACACAATAATTTCCATTTGCGTGATTTCTTTCTACCAAAAACTGGATTACAAAACTCCTCAGTCTGGTGCTTTGGTCTCGTCTAGCCCTTTATTTTAAGGACAGTTTTGTTTACAAAGACTTCATAATTAATTTTATTTGTTGTTTTATTTATTTTGAAATTTTAATTTCCTTCAGTTACAGTGTTAAATATCCAGTAAAATGTTAAGTTTATTGATCTTTAAGAATATGTTCTTGCATTATTATGCCATTAGCATTGTGTTACTTGAAAATGGTCTCAAGACAACAATATTATCATTTATCGCAATAACTTCTGGGGTAATTTATCATCCAGTAAAAGTTGTTATCATCACAGGCCTGCTGAATAAATGTATTAAAATAAAAATTTTGACTTTAGTGTGAGATTATGCTACTGCAATGAAAGTGATTTATTTTATTAGTTTGCAACAAATCCATCCACTTTATTATATATTTTATAATTTAAAAAACCCCTCAAAATGCAAAATCCTTTGTATGTCCTATTTGAATTAATAAATTAAACATTTTCTTGTTTCTTTCTGTGATTTTATCTTTGTTGTTGTAATTGTAGGTATTGAATTGGCCACTAGATGCCGCATTTGGACCATAGATGAATTAATGAAACTTATATTTGTTTCCTTATTTTCAGTGTCAGGTGAAGATGTCTTCATTGGTGGCCTATGATGATTCAGAGGATGAGGATGAGTCCTGCGATCAGAAGGAGGAAGAACAATCAGACCCGTCTGGACTTAATAGGTTTAATTTAAAGCCCAGACCTGCAGGTTCAGAAAATGTTTTAGGACAAAGTAGCTCTTCGTTGTATGTTTACCAAAAGACACAACACTGGGATTGGGAATACCATAGTGGAAATGAAGGGAAACATTTTAAAGACAGACCTGCTTGTCTCACTTTCCCAAAAACTGTCGCTGATGGTTCAAATCCCGCTAAAAGGCGGTCATCTTCCCTCCTTGGTGTCAGACCATACATCCCAAAGAGACAGAGACAATCAGAGCAAGCAAAACAGCCTGAGGATCACCCAGAACAAAGTTTGGAGAATCCAACCAGGAAAGGTCCAGTTCTCTCAGATGTTTCACCGAAAGTGAAACCTTACCTTGGTGAAAAACCCAGATCATCAGGGACGCCTAGGAAGCTTTTAATGAGCCTGGAGGGCCACCAGGGGGCAGTCAACACGGTGCAGTGGTGCCCTGTGCCTCACATTAGCCACCTGCTGTTGTCCGCCTCCATGGACAAGACCTTTAAGGTAATGACAGCCCCCACTTACTGCTGAATTGATGACATTTAGGATGGACGGCCATGAAACACAGAACCTTTAGCCAGAACCCACCGGACTGGCCTCTGTTATTTAAACAGCCTTCAAAGCTGAATGTTATTTACTGGAATTTAAATTATGACACACTTTGTAGGCCTGCTTTATCCTGAGCAACAATTTTATTTTGCACACTTTGAATTGAAATATTTATTTATTTCCATTTGGGCGGGGGGGTAAAGAATGAAGTTTTACAATGCTATAATTTTTTACTTTTACTTCAGTAATTTTATTATTAAGTATTTCTAGTCTTACTTGAGTAAAATTTCTTAATTTTTCTACCTGCTGAATTAAGAACAAACAAGTTTTAACCAAAAATTCACCACCCACACCTGCAGTTCTTGTTAGTTTTATGTTAAAAATAATTGATTTGGAAATATTTTTGTTACATTGTAATTATATTATTTATATGAATTGCTTTAATTTTGGTCTTTAAAATATCAACATTTACACATTATATTTTGGTCAGTCTGATTATGTAATTTTAAAATTTTAAATGACTGATTTTTACATCAAGTTACTCAGTACTTGATATTTTTGCCAAATACATTTTTACACTTGAGTAATATCTTGGATGGCTACTTTTTACTTTTACTTGAGTAAAACTATGTTGAAATAGTGCTACTTTTACTTGAGTACAATTTTTGAATGAGAAAAGATTGTTTTTTAAACAAAAACATATAAATTTATGAAACACAGAATTATATATTTCAAGTGTTTATTTATTTTAATCACTTACAGGTAAATAAAACCCAAAATTCAGTTTATTACAAAACTTTAATATTACAGGATTGTTAATCCAAGTCCAGGCGCTTAAAAAAAACACCCAGCTGTCTTTTGGCAATAAATTAATGTTTTGTGGTGTCTGGAAAATTAGTCATTTCAAAAACCTCCTGAAGGCTGGGTCACATTCCACATTCCACTGTGCCGTTACCTAGCAACCCCCGCTGAACCCAGTCTGTTACCTAGCAACCTAATCAGAGCTCCAGCAGGTTTGGTCAGCTGGTTTTACTGCTGTATGCACTGCACAGTGGCTACTGGAAAAGGCAGAAAGTGTTTTGTTGTTGACTTACCATCCAGAAACCACTTGCTGCATTCTTGTTGGTTGTGCAGGCGGCACCACTTCTGCTTTTCAAAGATCTACAGTTGTATAATTGCGCATCTGTTTGCAGCCATTTTCACTTGTGAGTTTCAATGATGAGTTGGGGGCCATGGCCAGGAGCAGCTTATTAGGATTTAAAGTGACAAAGGCCTTAAATAGCTGAAAACAGGCAGAACTACAATCTCATTATTTAAGAATGATTTTGTGCAAAAAAATATAATGAACATATTTTGCATAGCCCATAGATCTTAGTTTTTTATTATAAGGAATTATACAGAGTCACCTTAAGAAGCGACCTTCCAACAACCCAGATGTGCTCATCTGGGTTGTTGATGTCTGCATCTTCTTCTTGAAATGCAGACATTACTTGTATCTGAAGTTTGATGACGTTATTCCTGTTTCAGGAGTGGCTGAACATAAGTTTGTCTTTGTGTGGTGTCTTCACCTTATGAATTTGTCCAAAACTCTTGAATGGACTTTCCCTCAGGATCTTCTCAAGGCTGTTATCGTTGTGTCTACCGCATTTTTTCCTTCCACTCAATTCTACAATAATTTGCTTAGATTCTTTTTTAATGGTTTTTTTTTTTTTTTTTTTTTTGTGGCTTACAATTGGTGAGTCAGCAATCTTTACCATGATTATGTTGACCATAATTTAGGGCTAACAATACATATTGTGATAGACACTCGATCAATTTCAATAGATTATGTTCTATTGAAATTGATCGAGTGTCAATTTCGATCAATTTCAATATTGGATAAAATATCCAATATTCTAGCAGTGGTCCCCAACCCTGGTCCTCAGTGCCCACTGTCCTGCATGTTTTAGGTGTTTCCCTGCTGCTGCACACCTGGGTTAAATGAATAGGTGACTAACTGGCTTCTGCAGCAATTGCAGGAATGCAAAGAAGGTGATGCAATCATATGAATCAGCTGTGTTGGAGTCCAGACTCATCAAAACCATGCAGGACAGCAGACCCTGAGGACCAGGGTTGGGGACCACTGTATTAAGAAATATTCACTGAACTCTGTTCCAGAACCACACAGCATTCTGGGAGATGTAGGCTGAGAAGAGGGTTTAACTGCTCAACCCACAGACATAATAAAAGAATAGACTCCACATTGGAGTCTTGTATGCAGGAAATATGGCGGCTATTTTGGAGCGGTCATCAGTCCTACTTGGCTAAAGCAAAACAGCAGAAGATGCCTCAGCACTGCTGGATATTTTTGTTCAAATTGACGGACTGTTGACGTGAGGACTCGGGGCGTAGCTTTTCATAAGTAAGATGAACAAATTATTGTTTATATTTTGTATTAGCTATAGTGCTTGGTGTAATACTGGGCCATGAAGGCTAACTGATTTATTTAGGAAACCTTCAAACATTTTTTGTATTAGTCTTTTAATTGGTCAAACAACCATCAAACAACCAAAAATAAGTTATGTGGAAATTCTAGTAATTTAAAGACCATCCATCCACCCCACCCACCCATCCATCCATCCATCCATCCA